GGGGGGGGGGGGGGGGGAGGTGAAGAGGCGGTGGTGGCCCAGGGCGCCTAGTGAGCCCGGCCCTGAAGATCAGGGATTCTGTGTAAAACTTCCATGCTTCCAAGGCAATTAAATTTTTTTTATATTGAATGCAATTGACTTTGTGTCCTTTCTTATTCCTTTCATACCCAAATGAAATGTTTCCTCTAATTGTCTCAGCAAAGGGCTCTTCCCCCTCATCTTGCAGCATCCTCCTTCCTCTGACTGCAACCAGCATGGCCAGATTTCTAGTGAACGAGGGAGAAGTTCATCCAGGGAGCACCAATCAGAAAAATAGAATAGAAAATGCAGTATAGAGAAGATTTCTAGCAGTGCATCGGCAGTACGTGTTTCTTCTTGTGGGTTCTTGCTGTAGTTAGCTGCTCTTGTTGAGCCCACCCTCTGGTGACCTTTCATTGTACATTGGTTTTAACTGATTTGACAAAACTTCCTCTAGATCAGTGATGGCGAACCTTTTAGAGGCCGAGTGCCCAAACTGCGACCCAAAACCCACTTATTGTTATCACAAAGTGCCAACGCGGCAATTTAACCTGAATCCTGAGGTTCTACTTTAGAAAAAACAACTCATACATTAACTTAAGATGACCCAAACAAAGTAAGGAAAGCAATCCCAAATGCTTTCATTGACTTAAAATGATTTGGCAGAGAACTCGACACTTTAATGCTGGTCTGGGCCTGGCTGGGGCGATGGCACGCGTGCCCACGGAGAGGGCTTTGAGTGCCGCCTCTGGCACCCGTGCCATAGGTTCGCCACCACTGTTCTAGATCTTGGCTGCTTCAATATCCAGAGTGGGAAATAAAGTTATATTTCTAAAGCCACATGATTAATTGCTGATGGCCGGTAGTTTCGGGAAATATAAATTATTTCATATAGATTGATAAGAACGGGCGTGGGCCAGACTCAGCTCTTGGGTCCCCCTCCCCCCGGTGTGGGGGGGAATAGAGAAGTCCCTCCACCACCACCACCCCGCCTTTCAGAGGCCATCCGGGGTGTGTGTGTGTGTGTGTCCCCATCTTCTGGGTGTGGTTGGGGGGGGCTGCCCCCAAGGCAGTTGAGACACTTCAGGCAGAACCACCCACAGCTGTTGCTATTACTGACTGAGACCTGTTAGGGAGGCCACTCGGGAAGAAGCCTGTGTCGTTGTCGTCTCACATGCAGGGTCTGTGGCTAGCGCCTAAGAACTGTTTTATCGCGGTTTTAAAATGTTTCTATAAACCGCCCTGAGCCTGCCCCGGCGGGGGGGGGGA